TTTTTTGGATACTGTTTTTAACCAAATATGATAAAATAATGTCATAGGATGAGTTAAAGTTTGCTCAAAATGAGGTTTTCAGTAAAATACCGAGGATCGAATGAAACACTAGGCAAGATTGAAGCGGATTCCTAGATGTGTCCGACGCGTACATTCGATTTCGGGTTGAGGTAAACGCTTTTCAAACTGGCAAAAGTAGTGTCCAGGTCAGCGCGTTCCCATAGCTGACTGTGTCGCTTTAAGTATGCTGTATAGTTTGTAGATTGTTCTGGAATTTTCCTAGCCAAACTTGGACCAACATTCACATCTTAGTCAAGAAACGAAATTACCTTCCTTTGACATAACCGGCTAAACGCCCTTAAAGACGACTTTTTGGAGCGGACTGCTATCTACTTCGGGTTCAGTAATTTCAAGCAAGACTGCGAGGTCGGGCATTTAAAAGAATTTTAATGTTATGCTTAAAATGTTTACATAATGTCTTGAAACATAACTGAGATCATATAAAATATGAAAATACACATATGCGCACTCTTTTCCCTGCCCTACTATAAAATATGATAAGTGTGATTTAATGCGTTTTCATATGACCATTACGACATTACACCCACTTTGACACTGGCACAAGTTCAAGCGCAAAACAATTATTCTTGCCCTTGTTCGGTTTGGAATTGCTCGACTGCCATTCCTGTTTGAAGTACCGACAAAAATGGATTTGAAATCCCTGAATTTGATTCCTTGCATTGACATCCACATAAAAATTAGCTCCATCATATAATATATTGTACGCTTACACAAATCATAAATGCTATTTTTCCTTTTCTATCCAAAAGATTTCTTTCCTTCTTGAATCTAAATTCGTATCCATGACACTTAAGAATTCCTGATATCTTAAGGGGTATCGCTAGTTGTGGGCAACGACAAAATGCCATTGGGGTAACTTTTCACTGTCCGATAGAAATAATTCTTTTTATACTCTAGGTCTCATATATTTCGTATTTGTGCACATGAATTTAGGAGCACTTGGCTTGCCAATGTCAGTTTGACTGTGTATACACAGTAGTAGTGTATTTAGTCATATCTTATTAGGCTGTACAAGTTGCCATTTATGTAAAATTGCCCCTGAAACAAGCTTATTGATGCTCCTAGTGTTGCAAGATAACAAGTTATGAAAAATTTCGTTTTCCCTTTTGCCTGTTGCAGGAGCTCCCTATGAGATGCCCAGCACTTAACCTTGTTGATTCAGCTGACAGTCCTTTAGGACGACTGCATCGTCACATTCAAACCAGTTGCACTTTTGACTCAAGCCATAGCAGAGCTGGTACAAAATGGCGACTATCTGTTTCTTATTTAACCCTATGCTGTCTGCAGAATGTGAAGGGTCTGTCACTCCATCCTGAACTGCGTCAAATAGCCTTGATGCCCCAGAAGACACAGAGACAAGCTTTAATCTTATTGAGTCATACATTGGCTCACTTGAAGCTACCATAAACTCAGACTTTATAAATATCTGTCTTTAAGATTCTTAAGTTCTCATGTTGAAATTGAATGAAAAGGAAAAGTTAGAGCTCATTTTCTCTCATTTTCAATTTTTTAATCTTCAAATCATAAGAACTTGGCCCCAAATAGATATGGGCTAGTCAAGGGAGCTAAGCCTTATTAGTAAAATATTAAATAATAAACACATGTGCATTAGAAAATACCAACAACAAAATTTATGAAAAGCAAAAATGAGTGCAAGCATGGAACCAGAAGGAGAAAATTCACTTCAATATCTCGGAGAGAAAATGCAGTTTTAGATATGACTGTGATCTTTACTATTTTAAGTATTTTCACTGTTGTGTGCGTATTTGTAATTTTCTAGTATATAGAAGTGTGGGGAGTAAAGGGAGGGATTTTTCGTGGTTAGGGTTACCTCAATAAAACACATCTGTAATATGAAACATCTTGTACCACACTCCCCTTTTTGCTCATCTAATGTATTTCCCGCTGTTATTCCAAGTAATTAGTCGCAGTTGTTTTCGTTTCACACCTGCCGCACCCACTATTGTGCATTCTGTTTTACAGACATGTTCTGATTTGCCAGTCATTAGTATATATACTCTCCGCTGTCTCCTGAGTACCATTCACGCTCGCGGTTCCATACAGTCTATTCAACTTTCTGGTTTGCGCCAGCCTCCCCAACGCCGCCCCCCTACCTTTACTACAGGTTTTGTCATTGCTTTTATCTTTTAGGCCGTAGAGACACTTCTGGCGACTTCTTCCCTTGTTTCAAATGCGGCAGATTTGGACACTGGACCAAGGATTGTAGATCCATGTTCTGGCCGGGAAGCTACCAGTCCCCTAGCTACAGTACTTGCCCTGGAATCTCCTACAACAAGCCAACCGCAGGCCAATCAATTCAATCAAAGCAATGTCAAGATTACTTAGCGCAGGTCGATGAAATTACAGAATTACGAACTTGAAAGCGGGCATTCATTAGGTGTCAGGGGTAACTTGAAGAATAATTTAGGTTTCTGGAGATCTATAGGTGCTCCGGTTTTTATTTTGTCAATGATTGAAAACGTCTATAAATTGCCGTTCGTCCCTTTTTCATTGCCTGTAAAGCTAAG